CGCTAGCCACTCACCGAGTTGACACCCCTGGACAGCTACCTATGCAGCAGACCCCATATCGGCTACCTGAATCAGTCAGGGAACATATGAGGAAGGACATTGAGGAGATGTTGCAGTTAGGGGTTATTGAACACTCCGATAGCTCCTGGGCATCGCCAGTAGTCCTGGTACCTAAGAAGGATGGTACAACCCGGTTTTGTGTGGACTACCGGAGGCTAAACGACAAAACGGTGTCTGATGCCTATCCGATGCCCCGGATAGACGAGCTGCTGGATAAGATGGCACAAGGCCAGTATCTCACTACCATAGATTTATGCAGATTCCACTAGCCGAGGATGCCATTTCCAAGTCGGCGTTTGTCACCCCGTTTGGCCTGTATCAGTTTAAGGTCATGCCCTTCGGGATGAAGAACACCCCGGCGACTTTTCAGCGGATGGTAGATCGGCTACTGGATGGGTTCCAGGAATATGCCTGCGCATATCTGGACGACATTGCCATATATAGCCAGACCTGGGCAGAACATCTGCAACACATAGGGGCAGTGATTGACCGTATTGGAGAGGCAGGGTTGACACTGAAACCTAGCAAGTGTCATGTAGGGATGGCAGAAGTACAGTACCTGGGCCACCGGGTGGGAAGCGGGCAACAAAAACCCGAACCAGCTAAAATTGAAGCTGTAGCTAAGTGGCCCACCCCTAGGACCAAGACCCAAGTACTCGCTTTCCTGGGCATCGCAGGGTACTACAGAAAATTCATGCCCAATTACAGTGCCCTGGCCAAACCGCTGACTGACCTGACCCACAAGAATCTGCCCCGACAGGTCATCTGGGCCCCAGAGTGTGAACAGGCATTTGACCAACTTAAGACGGCTTTAACTAATGCACCGGTACTTGCTGCTCCTGATCCAACTAAACGATTTCTTGTCCACACAGACGCTTCAATGTTTGGATTGGAAGCAGTGTTGAGCCAAGTTGGAGCTGATGGTGGAGAACACCCCGTAGCATATCTAAGCCGGAAATTGTTACCCCGAGAAGTAAGCAAAGCCGCCATAGAAAAAGAATGCCTGGCCGTGGTGTGGGCCCTTAAAAAGTTACAGCCGTATCTCTATGGACAACCTTTTTCCTTGCTCACAGATCACAACCCGTTGGTGTGGCTAAACCGTGTGGCTGGAGACAATGCCAGGCTGCTGCGCTGGAGTTTAGCGCTGCAGCCTTTTGACTTTACCATTCATTACCGCCCAGGGAAACAAAACGGTAATGCCGACGGGTTATCCAGACAGACTGAACTTGAGAAGTGATCTGTGAGCACTCCTCCGGACATCCCCAAGCCGATCCATTGGG